TCACTTCCACCTTTCTCTTTCTTTTTTCCTCCTTTTTATTTTGTTTTAACCTTTTTTAATCCTTCTCCTGTTTTTACTTTTCCATTTACTACTTCTTCCAAATTAATATCATTACATACACTCGGTGACACAAGTTTTTAGATACATAAGGTAGCATGTTCTGGTTCGATGTAACGAATTGCTTCTACGTATTCCAATATTCTGATTTCACCCCAGCAGATCTTCAGTGCCAATATAAATGTATTTTTGCAATTTAAATTTTTTGTTTTACCAGAGATGGGAGAAAATTATGTACCTTTATGTTGCATTTATTAATCTTAGTCATGTCTATTATATCAGCTTAATTAAATATTATTACATTACATTTCTTGGCTTTCAGCACAACCTAAATGACAGGCCATTATGTCACAGTAATTATGAGGATAAGTAAAAAAAAAAATGGTTTAATATTAACACACAAAGTAATTCTGCAGGTAAGAACATGCTTCCCATATGGTCTCTTTGTAACTACTCCACAAACTATATAATGCTTCTATCCACAGTTTGTGGACAAGTTGTGGACTCTTCCAGTCACGGTACTCTACTTTTATTCATGTACTCTTCTATTCTTAACTGTGACCTTTATTCAAGTACAGTGGACCCTCGACCAACGATATTAATCCGTTCCTGAGAGCTCATTGTTAATCGAAATTATCGTTAGTCGAGTTAATTTTCCCCATAAGAAATAATGGAAATCAAATTAATCCGTTCCTGACACCCCAAAGTATTGAAAAAAAAAAATTACCACATGAAATATTAATTTTAATACACACAAACTGAAGAAGACTTGCACAGTTACATGACACTTAACCTTTATTGAAGATCTGATGATGATTGATGGGATGGGAGGAGGGGAGAGTGTTGATGGTGTTAGTGTTTAGAAGGGGAATCCCCCTCCATTAAGACTTGAGGTGGCAAGTCCTTTTCCGGGGTTACTTCCCTTCTTCTTTTAATGCCACTAGGACCAGCTTGAGAGTCGCTGGACCTCTGTCGCACAACATATCTCAACATTGTCAGTGTACAGGTTGCCAACATGGCTTGCAGTAGCTGTGTCAGGGTGATTTTCATCAAAAAAGGTTTGCACTTTAAGCCACTTTGCACACATTTCCTTAATCTTTGAAGTAGGCAACTTCTTCAATTTCTCTATCCCCTCCTCCGAAGCAGTTTCCTCAGGTGTGGCCTCTTACTGTTGAAGATGATCTAGCAGCTCATCAGTGGCTAGTTCTTCATTGTCCTCCTCCATCTCTTCCACATCCGCCCCACTAACCTCCAACCCCAAGGACTTCCCCAATGCCACAATGGATTCCTCAACTGGCATAAGATTCCCAGGGTTAGCCTCAAACCCTTCAAAATCCCTTTTGTCTACACATTCTGGCCACAGTTTTTTCCAAGCAGAGTTCAAGGTCCTCTTAGCCACTTCCTCCCAAGCCTTACCTATAATGTTTACACAATTGAGGATGCTAAAGTGATCTCTCCAAAACTCTCTTAGAGTCAACTGAGTTTCTGTGGTCACTACAAAGTATCTTTCAAACATAGCTTTTGTGTACAGTTTCTTGAAGTTTGCAATAACCTGCTGGTCCATGGGCTGCAGGAGAGGAGTGGTATTAGGAGGAAAAAACTTCACCTTAATGAAGCTCATGTCCCTAGAAAGTCGCTCTGCCAAGTCTGAAGGATGACCAGGAGCATTGTCTAATACCAGGAGGCACTTAAGGTCAAATTTATTTTCCAGGAGGTAATCTTTCACATTGGGGGCAAATGCATGGTGTAACCAGTCATAGAAAAAGTCCCTAGTGGCCCATGCCTTACTGTTTGCCCTCCACAGCACACACAAATTAGCCTTGAGGACATTGTTTTTCCTGAACACACTGGGAGTTTCAGAGTGATACACCAATAAAGGCTTCACTTTGCAGTCACCACTAGCATTGGCACACATCAACAGAGTAAGCCTGTCTTTCATAGGCTTATGTCCTGGGAGTGCCTTTTCCTCCTGAGTAATGTAGGTCCTGCTTGGCATTTTCTTCCAAAACAGGCCTGTTTTGTCACAATTAAACACTTGCTCAGGTTTCAGTCCTTCACTGTCTATGTACTCCTTGAATTCCTGCACATATTTTTCAGCCGCTTTGTGGTCCGAACTGGCAGCCTCACCATGCCTTATCACACTATGTATGCCACTACGATTCTTAAATTTCTCAAACCAACCTCTGCTGGCCTTAAATTCACTCTCATCACCACTAGTTGCTGGCATTTTTTAATTAAATCGTCATGCAACTTCCTAGCCTTTTCACATATGATCGCTTGAGAGATGTTATCTCCTGCTATCTGTTTTTCGTTTATCCACACCAATAACAATCTCTCAACATCTTCTATCACTTGCGATCTCAGTTTCGAAAACATAGTTGCACCTTTGGCAAGAACAGCTTCCTTGATTGCCGTTTTCTTGCCCACAATAGTAGCGATGGTTGATTGGGGTTTTGTGTACAACCTGGCCAGCTCGGAGACACGCACTCCACTTTCATACTTAGCAATGATCTCTTTTTCATATCCATAGTAATTCTCACCCTTTTTGCTGTAGGGTTGGCACTAGAAGCTTTCTTGGGGCCCATGGTGACTTATTTTGCAGGTGCAATCACTACAAACGCTGTGATAATATGAAATGTTCCGATTGTATGTTTGGATGGGACCGCGGTGGCTGGCTGGCTTGTAAACACTGGCACCCACGGGACAAGTGAGGCACGCTCAGGCCACAAGTGGACGTGTCTCGAACGGAACGAATAGCGTTGGTCGGGTTTTTTGGCGCTAGTCGAGGCAAAATTTTTGCGTTAAAATGTATCGCTAGTCGGATTTAACGTTAGACGATGCCAACGTTGATCAAGGGTCCACTGTACGTACTCTGTTCTCTTTCTGTCATTACTGGAACTGGTCAGATCCCTTCAGGAGTATTTCTTCTTTCACTATGTTGAAGCAGCTCCAAATAGTTTTTCAAATCATCATTGTATACAAAACTGGAATGCAGGTGGGCTTACAGTATGAGAAATAAATAAATAAAAATTACTGTACATTGCTAAGTCCCAAGTGGGGGGGTTATTCGATCAAATTTGTTAGCAACAACCTTTGCAGTTCTTGCAGTGTGTTCTTGCTATTGCAATAGCACCAAGTTTTCCATATAACTTGGGCAATACTTTCCTTTTGACTTGTACAAGTCTGTGTATAGTGCTAATGTGTTACTCAACTTGTATAGCATATACAGAGTATTCATTGAGTGCCACACCCATATCAGCATTCCAGAAAAGGGAGAACCAATTTGAATGCCTGATGATAGGGAAAGCATTTATCGTTAGTCTCGAGTAAAGAATCTTGCCGAATAAATCATTTTTAACTCTCCTGAGAGTACATTACCGTGGGAACCCAGCACGCTCCTTCTCAAATGATTGTGCAAGACTGATTACACAATACATTTAGGGTCTTTCAGTTGTTTTCCTCATTCTTCACAATTGTGGTAGACCTCAACATTGGCCTGTTATGCAAAACTATTAAACTAGCATGAAATGCTGGAGCCCATTTTTTTTTCAATGTTGCAGTTGACAGTACAGGTCTCCTTTTTAGTTTATTTACATTTCTATGTTTTTAGGTTCATTGTAATCAGGGCTAATACCAAATTTATCAGCACATATTGTCTTGAGTTCAGCAACCACCTTAGCAAATATTAATAAACAGCCCCTAGAATACAATGTGCTGTGCTTGTTTGGGTCTACATAATACATGCCTGAACTAAAAGACAGGTCTACCATATTTCCTCCTTGTGAAAAATGGCATTAATTGTAATGAAGACCTTTATTGGCACTGTAAGATTTCACCCGTACTTGAAAAAACTTGCTCGTGGGTCAAACCTTCTACCAATAAAATCACTGCAGTTAATGTCTTTTTTCACTGCTTGTTGGTATTACGCTGCCAGTTTACACACATTTCCGGTCATATCTTTGGGTATAAAGTAAAAGGTTAATACATTGTACTCAATCTCTTGATTTTTATAATATGGGGAAGTGCTAACCCTCTTGGGTTTACTTAGTGATTGGGAACTAAGAAGTAATCATATTTGAGCCAGAGAATGGAGAATAACTCTCATTTTGGTATTAAGAGTTGTCCACATGCATGAAATCGCATATGCCAACTTTTCCTCCCTTGTCATATTTTTCAGTTCATCATTCCACCTTCCACTAACCTGCATTCTTTAATACTCTTTCCCTTTGAAGGGTTTTTCACTGAAATTCATCTACTGTAAATCAAATATCACATCCTATATCTTTGCTGTCTGAATATACTATTCAAAATATCATAATCTACCATTTTGGTAAAACTTCATCTAAGTAACTTTCTCACTTCACTGAAGGTTGTGTAGTGATTTGCTGTGCACTGAGCCACTACTGAATTACTACCACATCAGCTATAACACATAAGCAAGGACTCTGATAACACTGCATACATTATAATTATAACTTGAAAGGTTAATGTAAAGTTGAATCCAGATAACATACTACTGACAGTAGTGAAGACAAGGCGGCACAAATTGTAAAACAAGCTTTTATTCGGAAATTTTGCTCTTTAGAGATTTATAAAGTAGTACATATACAGGGTGAAATGTCATCCCATTATAAGCTTCTCTTGTGATGAGTCTCTTTTCCACCAGTTACTTCATAGTTACTTCATAAAGTAGACATTTTGGATTTATTAGTCTCATCAGCACCATAGCACTTTTTTAAGATTTCCACATGGAGGACATATCCTACGTAATTGCTAAAATTCCCAATTTGTACAAGTAGCGGGAAGTTGAAGGAGAAGGGGCTGACATGGACTCCAGGTTAGGTGTAGCATGTGTCAGATTGTGTCAGTCAGTGTGTTGCATGAGAGTGTTGAGGCAGAAATGTTGGGGTGAGGTATGACCCAGCACTGATGACCTATGGTAGGTGGTGACGATGGTGGGCAGACTCTGGTGGAGCAACAGCTGGAGGCTGCCGTTGTGGAGAGTCCTAAGACTCTTGCTTCTCTCACCAGGTGGGTTCTACTAGTCTTACTTTGCTCTTCTTGCTAACCTCAGGTTGGGACCAGCTGTCATCTGTGGATTATGTACTTTACAAGACTATCGCTACTTGTACTTGAAGAGCTAACCACCATCATCCATACTGAAGTGTTTACCCTCTTTCTACCGAATTAAATATATTTTCTGATTTATTTTATAAAGGTGTGTGTTTATACTCTCCTAATTCACCTAATTGTGGTTGCAGGGGTAAAGTCACAGCTCATGGCCTCTGTGTGTATGCGTGTGTGTGTTTGTAAAAATATATATTTTTTATTTATTTACTTGTTTATTTTCACCATGGTTGTTTAACTTGTTTATAATGAGGAAAAAGAAGTAAATGCTAGGGTTTTGTGGCAAGGTGTGAGATTACAAAGTGATGAATCTGATGTAAAATACTATTAGTTATTGCAGTTGCTCTCTCCTGATGACACCATTCTTTTGTGGGATTCTGAAGGTGAATTACTAAGGTTAGTGGAGGATTTTTGGAGGGTATGTTAAAAAGTAGGAGCCAGGAGATGAGGGTAACAAAAAGTTTCAGCAATGAAAAATTGGATATCAGATTAGACGAAGGGAGTATAGAGGATGTGGATTCAGATATTTGAGAGTAGACATGTCAGCATATGGGTGTATAAAAGATAAGGTGACTACCATAGACAGGTATAAGAAAGAAGCTAATCTATAGAGGCAACAAGGAAAATGAACATCAAAATGGTATACAATACCGACAGGTTGTTAGGTAAGACACATATGCAACAGTTAGACAACTTTATTCCGAAACTGAGGATGCTGGTTTCTTTTGTTTGTTGGAGTTGTTGCAAAGTGGTTTTGAATAAAACTAGGTGATAAAGATTAAGGATAGTGAATAAGTTAAAATTTTGAGGTAAGATTAAAGAAAAGAATGCATATATGGTTGTGGGTTTAGTGGGTCTTCCAGATGAGCAAACAGTTGTATTGAGCAAGGCAGAATGCAAGCGTCCTACTTTCCTCTTTGTGAAAGAATCATCAAATGGTTCTCTCTAGATTGAGGATTGGGCACGCACACACCCTACCTACCTCACCCATAGACGAGTGTTTGCTTATGATGCTGTCCCTCTCTGTGTAGCTTAACAGTCTGTGGATGATTATGCCACATGCTGTATTTTTACTGTTTGATTAGTCTTTTTTGGGATGATTTTTATACTACCGTGTTCTTCTTCCAGTTTTCCTCCAACTCCCATGGAAAATTAATTACTTATCTTGTCCCATTATATTTCTGCTATACATCAGTAACTTCTTATGTCTTCACCTTTTCTCTTAAACCACTCTGCAAAACTGAAGATCACTGAATCAGTTTAAAATAAATCATACTTTTAAAACCATACCTTTTGCACATTAGCAACCGTTCTTATTGTACATATGACTGTAGCTAACTGCTTAAGAAATCCTACTTAACAGAGGATCATTGAATCAGTTTGAAATAATAAGTCGTACTTTTAAAACTACCATTTTTCATTTAGCTCCCCCCCCTTCTTTTTTTTTTTCTTTTTTTATTCTTTTTTTTTTTTTACATGGGCAGGGTGACCCAAAAGAAAGAAAAAAACTTTCATCATTCAACACTTTCACCATCACTCATACATAATCACTGTCTTTGCAGAGGCACCCAGATACGACAGTTCAGATGTCCCTCCAAACTGCCAATATCCCAAACTACTCCTTTAAAGTGCAGGCATTGTACTTCCCATTTTCAGGACTCAATTCCAACTAACCGGTTTCCCTGAATCCCTTTACAAAATATTACCCTGCTCACACTCCAGCAGTTCGTTAGGTCCCAAAAACCATTCGTCTCCATTCACTCCTATCTAACATGCTCATGCACGCTTGCTGGAAGTCCAAGCCCCTTGCTCACAAAACCTCCTGTACCCTTTACCTTTCTTGTGTATATAATAGTTAACTGCATAAAGTTCCTACTTGATAGTTAATGTCTACTCCTTAAGTAGGATTAATTTGCCCAGAATGCATTACATACCAGTGGCTTTCTTTTGTGTTTAACAATGTTTTATTATATCTGAACTACATTATCCTTCTACAGCATTAAGTGAAATAAAATTTTGAATTTGAATTACATATGGAAGCTAAGATCTTATTTGTCAAGTAATAGATGGGTTTTTAATGGGTGTAGGATTTAACCTTCTATGACTATATAGTACAGTATTTACTGATTTAACAGGTGTCTGTGTATGTTACTGTTTATAGTTAGTGGGCTCATTTTATATTTGATTGTGCTTAGTTAAATGTAATCTCCCATTTGTAGTTACAAGAGTAGAGCTATGTTTATGGTGTCCTCTCTTCAGTGTTCAGTGTATCATATAATTTAAAATATCTGGTGACTATACAGTATTATTGTTTCATTCATGGAGGAGTACTAAATCCGTAAGAGTCATACCGCACCAGGTAAGTGGGAGACAAGAAAATTCAACCCAGGGAAAGGGAGAATAGTTCCAGTTCTTTAGATCAAGAGCTCTTCTTTAGATCAAGGCACATTCCTCGAAGGGTCTAGTGGGTGTATCACTGATATAAGTCATTTTTTGTTTACATACATACCCAAGATAGTTTAATTGATAAATTATGCACAATATATGGAGAATTATCACTTTGTCACTGATGGGAATCATGTGACGACTTCTCTTAGGCTTTGAAGAACTGTCACCATGACTACTTTTGTATTTTGTGGCCATTATTAAGCAAAATCAAGGTTATTTTTGGGCATTCATAAACCCTGGATAACTGAATCTGCGGATACAGGGGTTCTACTGTGTGTAATTTCATTTTCATACGTGTTCCAGAATTCTTTGCATTGTGTATTAATGTCTTTCTTTTTTATAGTTCTATTCCACTTTGTATCTCAAGATACAGTTCTGGATTTGGATAGTTTATGTCCAGAATTCCCCCTCCCCCTCTTTTTTTTATCTTGTAAATGCTATATTTTACTGTTTTTTGTGATTGTGTCTCCTCTTGTAAGTCACTTTTCTAATGTACTGATATGTATGAAAACTGTCATTATATTGAGGACTTAAACCTTTGTTCCATTTTCATAGGTTGCTCAGTTTGTTCAAAGTTAAAATCTTTGATTTACATTTTTTTTTTTTTCATGGTCGTTTTCTTTATTTATAGATCACATGGTAAGTTTTGATGTCTTGTTATGTATTATATGGTGGGTTGTGTGTGTTTACCATTATGAGTTTTTCATCTTTGTTTTACATTTCTTCAACTAAAATTTCCACTCTACATTGTTAGTAAGTATATTCTGGTTTACATAAATACAGTTACATAGATTATTATACATTGCAGCATATGTGTTTTAGCTTTTAATTCCTGTAGTACATATTTATGTTATGGCTTTTAATTTTTGTAGCTGCCATTGAAGGGCTCTTGATCAAAGGAATTGGACCTGTCCACCCCTTCCTTGAACTGAATCTGAATAACTCCCATTTTACCTAGGTTATATATGATCGCTGAGGATTGAGCACTTCCTCTATGAATGTAATAATTTTTGTGGCTTGCAGCTTTTCTTTTACCAGTATTGCCAGTCCTGACTTTCTTTCCTACTCTCTCAATTCTTACTAATTTTTCTCAGAATTTTTTCCAGTTTGTTTTCAAATAAACCTTGTTACTGTTAGATTTTTTCTTACTTATATGGTAAAGTCCTTGAGATTGTCTTTTTGAGCTTACTCCATCTATATTTGTATATAAATTTGTCTGGTATTCCTTGTTTTCCTCTGCTCATTTTCCTAATAAACCATTTGAGGGGTTGGTTTTTACCCTTTTCTTTGCTTTTTTTTCCATTATTAGACTTTGCCTTTTGTATTTGTCTTTATGTTTTGTATACCAGGAATTGATGTCATATAATCTTTATTTCTTTATTCCTTGGCTCTCGAGCAGTTCTTCCGTATGCAGTGTGAACAAAGTATAGAGTATAGAATGTTGGTCCCAGCAGTCTTCAAATTTTATAGATTGTTCTTATTAAAGTTTGAAGACTTGTGAATAACCTGGTCTGTTGCAATTTATAAAATCAGTGAGGAATAATGAGCAGATTGAAATTATAGTCTATAGTACAGGACATACAGAAATTTAAAATACGGATAGCGGTTTCATTTTGCATTATTACTGTATATAAGAATAATACAGGTATACAAAAATTTAATACAATATACTCTTGTGTAACCCTAGAGCAGAATTCTCTATTAACAGGACTTCAGGTCTCCAGGTAAGATTATACCAGTAGTGCAACATCAGATAATTTTGTATAAATCTGTGTCCTCAGTACACACAGAATAATTTTAAAGTGCTGTACCATGTAATGGTAATTTTTGTGTCTATATTCAGTAGTATGCAAAAACAACCACAGGGGGAGCTGAATGATAGCTCTAGGTCTTTTGTGTTACAATCAACACATTAGGAATTTGCAATGTTGCAGAAATGAGTAAGAGCTCTTAGCAGATTCGTTTATAAGGATGCTCTTGCTAAGCAAGAATCTGCTGATATCTCTTGCTCATTTCTGCAACATTGCAAGCTCCTGATGTGTTGATTGCAACACAAAAGGCCTAAGAGCTATCATTCGACTCCCCCTGTGGTTGTTTTGCATCTTGTATTGCTTGTTTCATGATTCTTGCACAAAATTCAGTACTATGCTTAATGAGACGTATGCAGCAGTGTTGGTAAGGTATATATTAATGATACATTAAGTATTATTTTTAGCCACACTGCTGTAGGTCATAGACAAGTAGTTGATGTTTCTTAAGTTGCTCATTTTTTCTATTAGGTTTTTCTTATTATTATTTAGTTAGCATTTTTTGAGTAGATTTTATTTTTTTAAAATTAAATTACTTTTTTTTTTTTATCTTTATTAAAGAATCATACAGACTAGTCATTACATTTATATATCACATACAATACAAAATATCATTAAACAATGGGAAGTTGTGATAATATTTTATGA